AAAAAAGAGAGAGATCTATGGGAGGAGGACTGTCTCACCAGTCTTGCTAGAGAGAGATGCCTTCGCCGCTATCCCGGCTTTGCAGCACAGCTTGTCAACGGTCTCTCGCGCCCACGGACCACTGTCTAACATTGGTGGCACGCGGGCCCTCCTTGCTCGTGGTGCGCAAGACAGCTCTACCACGTTCCGATAGTGTCGCTGCTGGAATCTGAGGACATCCGGAAGCGCAAGCGGCAAGAGTCCAGTGTGAATTTTGATGAGATTGATGATTAGGTTGCCTCCTTGGCAACCTAGGACCCCATCATTTGGTGGGGTCCTAACCAGGCTTTTGGTGGCTTCCTCCACTTTTTTCAATTTCATTTCTCCCTCTTTAGCAGGGCTTCCAATACGACTTTGTTACCTATGCGTCCTTGTTTGGTTGCCCCAGCCTTCCTTTTTTGGAATCATTTGGACCCTTTTTCGGACCTATGGATGCCCGTACCGTTACAGTTGGTTACATATGAGTGACCTGTTTCTCCCCTTTTTACTACGAACATTATGTCATTGTTCGCTTACTCCACTACTCTGTTATTATAGTACCATAACGAATTTAGCCCCAATTATATCCAACATTGTGTACGCTTTTCTCCATTTTGGAAACCCTACTTATAGATTTAGTAACTAGGACTCTTTCATTTGGGAAGGAATGCTGAGCTGTTTTGGATTCGGGGCTTGGGGAATAGCCTACAACTACCCTTCTGTAATTAGCATCAAAAGTGCATCAACTTGTAAGTCATGTATAGAAAGGGGAACGGAATTCGGTAAGGAATAGTGAACACTTAGTTCAACATTCTGTAACCGTTACGCCAATGACTTGTGCTGCAATTGCATCTGTATATGCCTGAGTCGATCGTCTTCAATTAGTAGGATAAGAGGTTCTTGAATATTGCACAGCTGACCTCACAAAATGGGAAGGATCATTCTCGGTGTTCTTGTACCCACCATACATAAGCGCGAGGTCAGTTACCGATTGGTAACCTTACCATCGACTGACCTGGCAATTTTGTAACCGACCTCGCTGTTTTCGCGCTACCCCATTATGCGCTTCTTAGATGTGGTCTCTACCAAAGTCAAAATACTACCACTCCAGAACAGGACGATGCCCGCATTGAACTCCTCGACACTAACACCAATGTAGCTTCGGAGGATACGGTACAAAACGATGACAATCATGGAACATGGAATTTGCCGCGATTGGAACGGAGCACAGCCAACAGAAGGGCCCAATTACAACCAGGAGCCTACCCAAGTGGAGGCAATTTTCAAGCAACAGAGGAAAATCAGGAAACAGCAGAGACGCGCATCGAACCCACCACTACTGTACCACCTACTGTCGAGCTAGAAAATGAAAATCGTGGTTTGGCTGTGGCAAATTTGGTTCCAGACGAAGCAACCCCTCAGGATCTGCCCCAGGCTCAAGATTACAATCCCGAAAATGAAAACAGAAGCAGACAAACTAGGAGGAAGCAATTCAAAACCAAGGTACTCTGGGGAGTCATTGTCTTGTTGGCCATTATTCTCATTTTGGTGGCCATTGTGACACTGGGAAAGAATCAGGATAATCTTGTCCCAACCACCGCACCTAGTGAGTTGCCCAGCACCAACCCCTCTCAGGGACCGTCATCTTATTCGGAATACTGGCTGTCACTTTTCCCGGAATCAACAGTCTCTACAATTCAGAAGGTCCCAGGATCACCCCAGTCGATAGCATTCAGGTGGCTCTTGGATGAGATTGACATCCTACAACGCCTTGCAGAACAGAGAGTTGTACAACGATTTGTACTAGCCACATTCTATTTTGCCAACAGCGAAGAACGATGGTTCTTCGGTGACAATTGGTTGAACCACAGTGTTCATGAGTGCCTTTGGTATTCAACTTTGGAGGAATGGTATTTCGAATTTGAAGCCGATATCATTCTCGCATTGGATTACGTCAACCCTTGCGAGCAAGATCCAGCTGGATACCTAGAGGATGGTGTGCTCTACCAGGGAGATGGAATTCTGAAGCACTTTTGGCTGCAATATAATGGCCTGTCGGGATCCGGGATTCCACCTGAGCTCTACTTGCTCACAGACCTCAAGAGCTTGGCATTGGATGGATTGAACCTTGCAAGCACCATCCCAGATGAGCTTTTTAACCTTTCAAATTTGGAGTATATCTCGATGAATGCATGTGGGCTGTTTGGCTCCATTCCTGAGGCACTCGCAAATCTGTCAACTCTTGAAGCTATCTACTTCGCCTTCAACTCTTTGACAGGAACTGTGAGTGAAAACCCATGGTGTATCTGATGAGAGCTTTAATATCTCACCTTGTCATTTCTTCACCTTGAATTCTATCTTTTCCAGATTCCATCATCCCTGTATTTCCTTACAAACTCAATGACAGGCATACTTTTTTCAGAAAATCAGCTGACGGGACCAGTGGGTACAAGATACATTTCTCTTTTGAATGTACAGTATTGGTGTTTCTCACTAGCTGTTTCTGATATTGCAGGTTCCAACAGAACTGGGATTGCTAACTAATTTGCTGGGTCTAGCACTTGACACCAACCTTTTCACAGGGACAATTCCCACAGAACTTGGGCAAATAGCTGGGTTAAGGTCCTTGTTTCTGAGTGGCAATACTCTGAGTGGCGCTGTAAGTTTTCAACATGGACTGGTTGATTGATTCTCCTTGTTTGCCTTCTTGAGATCTCACATGCACATTCTGGTAGATGCCAAATGAGCTTGCAGTTCTTACAGACATGCTAATTCTGCAACTGTATAGCATTGGTCTTACAGGGACAATCCCTAGATGGCTTGGGAACATGACATCCATGGATGCCTTGATTCTGGAGACGAACTCCTTTGCTGGGACTGTAGGAAGATCTTTTTGTGCCTGTCATGCCACACTTCTTCTTCTTCTCACATGAACCATTGTTTCTTCTTTTCCTCTCTATAGATGCCAACAGAACTTGGCCTGCTGACAAAGATTTCGGTCTTCCAGCTTGGTGTGAATAAATTGTCGGGCACAATTCCAAGTGAAATTGGAATGCACGAGCAAGTGCTTTTTTTGTACTTGCGCAGCAACAACCTGACAGGAACCATTCCAACAGAGCTTGGTCTGCTTACTGGTGCATGGCAGTTGTTGCTAAATGACAATGACTTGACTGGAACCGTGCCGCTGGAGCTTGGCAATGTTCCTTTCGTCCAAGCAAATTATGGTGACTTCTGGTTGCATGGAAATGATCTTTCTGGTATTATCCCTGAGAGCTTGTGTTCTGCCAACAGGCTTGTTTTCGATTGCAGCAGCCAACTCTGTGGATGTGACAGGTGCAACTGTTCTAGTTCTGGTATGAATATGGTCCTGTTGGAAGCCGAGAATCAGAATGGCACTGGACAGCTTCTTGGTGAGGAGAACCATACTTCCACCTGAATGGAATTGCTTTCTTTGTTTGGATTATCATACTACATAACATAACTAATTGGATACAAACAAAACAAAACTGAACATCTAATAACGGATTCAGACGAGATGTGCTTGAGGACGACCCACGAGCCGAGGCCCGGGTATGAAGAAGCAATAAGATTGATGCCATTCCTCCTTGCGGTTGGTTTGTTGCAAGAATCTCTTGGATCGCCATGGTTGGGCAAAGAACGCGCAGCCAACCAGCAATTCATTCAGACTTTTCCATGTATACTGGAAATACTCCAAACTACGTTGGTCCTGTCATCTTCACTTGCAGCGATTGGCGACTGCATGCTTGGGTCGTAGTGCCTGGGTTACTCGGCATTCTGTCTGTTTGTGTTTTGGCGATAAAGGGATCCTTTGACTTATGGAAATGTCTACAGACCGTTGAAAAGATTTAATACATTAGGAGACATTAGGAGACAAAGTGATACATTGGTAGACATTAGTATACAAAGTGAGACATTGGTAGACAAAGTGAGACATTGTGAGACATAGTGAGACATTGTGAGACATTTTTGTACTGTTTTACACTACCTTGTAGACATTAGTAGACAAAGTGATACATTGGTAGACATTAGTAGACAAAGTGATACATTGGTAGACAAAGTGAGACATTGTGAGACATTGGTATACAAAGTGAGACATTGTGAGACATAAGCCACTTTTTCTAAGGAGCATAGAACATTTAAGCAACTCTTTAATCAGACACAATAGCTTAAATAGACAAAATGCCGAGTAACCCTGGAGGGGTGGATGCTATACTGCACTCTAGCCAGAGCTAATAGGTGACGACCATGAAGCATCCTGCTGGTGTTGCGTTGGCGAAGTCCAGGTGATTCGGTCTAATTTGATATCGTGATAGATGTGAGCAAAAATATGCCCATTGCACACAGGTACAGGAGCAACAAGAGTCAGCGTAAAGCTGCATTTCTGGGCCGTCCATCGTTTTGTTTTCTTTCTACTTTTTACAATTACCGTGACGTTTGCACTACTAGCTGGCTTCTCTATCACGACGCTGGCGTGTGAAAACGTCCCTTTCGCTCCTGATCCAGTACGTTCTTGATTCTGTTGTTTGTTAGTTTCTGATGTCTACATATCCATTGATACGAGCAGGGTTGCTTTATTGGGAGAGAGAGAGAGAGAGATGACTATTACGGTACCTTTCCCGCTTCCACGCAGGTGATCTCAATCCAGCTTCTTTGGTGTGACTGTCCGCTTTTGCCGACTGGGATTCTTGTAGGATGCTTTGGCAGATGATGCCAAACCAGAAATGCACACTACTGATAATAAAAGTCCATACCACGTGCCTAACGTCAGCCCAATCATAGCTTCCAGCGACACAAAGACTGCGAGCAGTGTCAAGGCCAATAGCATGCCCACTGCTTGAACGTTTGGCACTTGTTGTTCCCCAAACTTTGCCAATGCCAATCCGGCATGCAGCCATGTCAAGATACCATCATCGGCGTTGATGGTCGTGGGACTCGTGCTTTGACAATACGAGTTGGACACGTATTGACAGAGCATTCGTGTCGGTGCCATCCAGGCATGAAAGAGGCTCTGCTCCGAAAGAATCTTCAGAAATGCTTGAACAATGACGGGGGCATCCTTGGCAATGGAAACGTAGGTGGATGCTACCACTGTGCCGTCATTGACGAGAATGGTTCCACTCGGCGTCAGTGGCAAGTAGGCGCCTGCCTTGGTGACTGTGGTGATACTCGTGACGACGTGTTCTTGTTGTTGTCCCTTTGATAAAACATCCCCCACCTGGATGGAATCAGCTGCGACCGGATCCGTTCGACCTTGTACAAAGAGCAAGTGATTGCCAGTGACTTCGAGTGGCTTCTGATTCGAGACGCCCTCCAGTCGAATCTGCAGATATTCCATGGGCAGTGTCTTGTGAAAGTGTCCAAAGGCATAGATAGGTTCATACGAGTTGGTTGTCGTCGTCATGACTAGATCGCCCACTTGCAAGTCGGTCATTGGAACGGTTCCCTTGCCCTTGACGGTCACAGTTGTATCGGCACTAAAGCAGCCATCTTCACCACGTCCAGCACTGGCGTATCCAATGGGAGACGCACAGGTAACGGTCAAATTGTCGTAAGCTGCCATGGTATCAATCGCCACGTGCAAATCGGCATCATTTTCGGTGGGTCCATCCAATGTGCATTCTTCGTTGCTTCCCGCAGCCCTCGATTCGCAGTCAAATCCGTCTCCGGCGCGTCGAAAAATTTCGGGGTCACTACCGTATTTGAGATACAGATTCGCATTGCCATTGCCACCTAGGAGGGAACACGACACGTTTTCTCCTACTTTGACTGGTGTGTCAAGTTTGTAAAAAGTAGTAAATCCCGGTGTCGGACTAGCTTGGCCCGTCAAGCCATTACCATTTTCCAATTCCACAACGTCCACGTAAGAGCACGTCAAATCAATCCGTTCAAAATTGGAAAATGCGTAGGTTGTGATAAAGACGGACGTTTCTTCCTTGGCTGCATAAAAGCCACAGCCTTCTTCCGATGTTCCGGCAATGTACCCAATGCAATCGTAATTCAGATTGGTCGGCTCGGCACCGTATCGACCCGCCATATTGACATTGCCGTCTCCCGTCATTTTACAGGTAACGCGTTGTCCGGCAGGGACGTTGGCCAGTACAAAGGTGGATTCATCAAACGAGTTGCCGTTCAACACAGTGGTGACGACGCCCTCTTGCAAAGCAGTCGTGGAGCGGGGAAATGGCTGCTGCAACTGACGAGGTACAACGCGTTGCTCAAAGTTTCGACGAAGCTGTCGAGCAGCCGTGCCGGTCAAGAGCAGCAACAGAGGGAAGCAAACAGACTTGAACATCGTCATCGTCATCCTCATCATTGTCGACGATTGCATGCAACAAGATGATGGTTTGTTACAGTGAAGGTCGCAGATTCTTCGATCTCATTCCTGAGCGCAGGCACATCTAAGTAGCAAGCGTTTCGGTCGCCAACTTTTTATGGGTGCGCTCATACCGTCAAGGAGGTGCAAAAGTGGAGCGCACACCTGCCATCAAAGTGGAACAGAGAATCGAATCGAATCGACACAAGGTTAATTATTTTAAAATAATAAGGGTTCTGCCAGTAAAAGGAAAGGAAACACCAAGAATGTAGTGTCTTTGAACTTTGCCTGCTGAATAATTGAGAAGATGACCCTACAAAGTGCAAAGTGTTCCCAAGATGTCGCCATGTCGCAACACTACTTACTTCATAACAAACGTAGACTACTCCGAAACTCGGGATGTGCCGCATTGGTCCTCTCTGGCTGGAGACTGTCACTCAAAACTCTCGACTTGAATGCTATCGTTGGACTGCACGTGCCCCTCCAGCCAGCCCCCCAAGCAAAGCAGACGACCATGGGACATCACAGCGACGGCGCATTCGTTGGATTTGCTGAAATGATTCAATCATGCGGAAGCGCAGCCATACATCTACTTTCCGCACAGCCCATGGCAGCGTTTCTAAGTTTCGTCCCTCCAATGATGACGGCTCCGACGCAAATTTGGCGCCGACGGAGCTCATCTTTCCTCAGAGGATCGTTGGATGGATGCCGTAGTCTGCGCCCTAAATGCTTCATCTGCAATATTCGGGATTGTCAAGAAGGTCAGGATCAGTCCCCGTCAGGGTGGATCAAGCGTACCGATACCACCCGAATAGGACCGCAACGTGTTGACCACGACGAAGTTCAGGCGGAGCGATGCATCGCTAATCTTCGTAGAGACAGGTTCCATTGGTGGGCACATCCGAACCAAGCAACGACCACTGCTATCTATTCATTCAAGAGTGGTTGTGAGGTCAACCAACCAAGTTCACGACACGACACGATCTAGCTAGCTTGCTACATGTATAGACTAGCTAGTAAACTGTAAGATTTGTTTTCTTTCTTTCTTTCTCTATGTAAGTTCTACTTATCTTGGACAGGACATTTCGCTATGAACAATATTGCAAAAACACAAGTTCCCATGGAGTGGTAGCAGCTTCACCTCTTTGTTTCGTTTTGCTTGGGGCTGTCCGTGGCGCCCAAGCATGGAGGTGAGTCAGTTTTAAAAAAATAACTCCCAGGAACCGTCGTAACTCTTGAGCGATCATCAACAACCAGGACCTGATCGTTTTCATGTTCGCTTTTCTTCTTCTAGTAATCTAATAGGCATCCCCGGACATGAAATTCATAAACAAGGTGGTGTAATGCTGAATCTCTTCATCGTTGGAATGCGATTCGAGGGCGACGGAAAAGGCCGAGACGGCTCCCGATTCCAACATCATTTTGCGATCGGCCGAATTGTCGTGCATAAAGGTGGCGAGCTTGAGCAAGACACTGCATCCGGCTTCCTGTACGGCACGATCTTCTTCAAACTGAATCATTGCGGAAATGACAGCCTTGACACCCTTGTATTCCCGGACGAACCGTCGTCCCATCCACTTTTTGATCTTGTCACTGTCCGCATCATCATTGTCATCACAACCACTTGGCAGCATGCTCAAGAGAGCATTGCAGCCAAAGAACTGGACCGATCGCGACTGGGGGAATCGTCCCATGCTCTTGAGGATCTCTTGGACGCCACCGACCATCCAGAGCGTCTTGCGGACCCGGGCTTGTTCTTGCTCCGTACTGCATCCGACCGTCATGGCAATGAGGGCGCGAAAGCCCTTGGCGCAAATGGCCTTTTGGACGGACCACTTTTTCATGATATTGACGATCGTGGCGGGAGCTCCCATGTGACACGCCTGACTGCAGAGTTCGGTGGATTGACTGCAAAAGACAGTCAAGCGTTCCAATGCCCGAATGACAACCTTGGCTTGGGTATCGTGGTGGAGTTCTTCCAAAAGCAAGTGCGACATTTCATCCAAGTAGACGGGTTCCTCGCGGTTCTCCTTGTCCGAGGCGGTAGTCGACGTGGTACTGGCGGTACGGGTACTGTCTTCCAGGAGGTACTTGGGGTCCGATCGGGTACTGTTCTTGAGTTTGGTCGTCACGGGCAGACGCGAGTGATTGCCGTTGGTCTGAGTAGTATTCTTGCTGGTCTGACTGGGCTTGGCCAAAGAAGAAGACGACGAGGGCTGCTCACGCATTTGCTTGCTCGAGTTGGGCCTGCTACCTCCAGTACTACTACCGGTAGTGCTTGTCTTAGTTGAAGCCATGAAATTCTTGGCAACTCCCATAATGTTCAAACCCAAGCTGTTGTGGTTGAGCGTGGGAACACGGTGACTGTCATCCAAGCGAACACCGTTGCTGTTGGTACTGAATCTCATGGAGTTGGGGCGACTGCCGGTGTTGTGGGTGTCCAATTGCTTGCGAGAGTTTGGCTTGCTACCAATGCTGTTGCGGTGCACATGAGGACTGTCATCCAACTGAAGCTTGGACATGGAGTGGATTGCAGGGGGAGATTCCATCTTGGCTTATTGGTCTTCTGATTATCTTGAGTTGAGTTGAGTGGATTGTGAGTTAGCTGGCTGATTTATTGGTAGCTAGCTAGAGAAAGATGTTGATGTGTGCTGATGCAAGCTCTTGGAAAGAAAAAAGATCGGAAGATGTTTGAAATTGTGAGGAACTCAAATAAATTGTGAGCAACCATCGGAATTGCCTTCCGATTTTGCAAGATCCATGCCACCACATCAGCATGACATCATCCTCAATCCAAGCCAGCATAACTAATCCTCCACTCGGCACGTCTTTTCAAGCTACAATCTTAACAAAATATTCTGCAAGAAGTCTTGTGGGACACGGCGTCACGCAAAAAAGACTCAAAAATTCAAAAGACGGACTAAATTGGAGTGTGACTGGGTATTTACTAGACTACCGTTATCAACTCCAGTCTTGATTCCAACATTATCGCCTAACACTGCACAAACACGTGGCCCCATTCTAACGTCTTGGAGGAGGCAGGCATGCCAAGCGCCAGGCGAAAGGCTCGGGAAGACGTCACGCTGACAGTCCTCGGTTCGGGGACTTGTCGCAGGGGCAGAAGGTTTGCGATGGATTGCCATGAAGGCCATGAACAGCTCATGAAGTTGAAGGTTGAAGGGGGGAAGGTTCCAAGAGCTTCCCATTGACAACACCCATTCCTTCGGTAGGCCAAGCTGTCTTAGTTAGTTGGAGTTGGCAGCTTCAAATGGGCGAGGATGATGTACCGGTACCAGCACTGGTACCAAGCAACTGCCCGCCCAGAATGATCCGGAATCCATCTTGCGAATTCCCAGCCAATTTAATTGAGGCGTTGTCCGCTGGTTCAATATCAAGCGAATATATCTGTGCTACTGATGACACGAGGATAGGAGCGAGCGTAGCTGCTGCTATCGCCAGTGGGAGTTGCGTAGTACGATGCTGCTTGCAACTCGCTAGCAAGTAGGCACCGTATGTGGCTGCTTAGAATGGTCTCGGTGCGTCCATGCAGGGCAGTGACAGCGTGGTAGGCCTTGAGAACGGCACTCGACGCCTGCCTGGATTGTACGGTAGCTTGCCTGGTCCAGTCAGTCAGTCAGTCAAAAACATCTTTACAACGGCCTGACCCAATGGACGGATAAGCTCTTGTCACAGCCGTAGCCTGGTTCAGTCAGTCAGCGGGATAGAAGCTCCGAGCAATGCTGCTTCCACCTGATACAAAGTCATGCAGGTGCAGGCCCACCCAAACTATCGATAGAAGAATACAACAGGCAAACGATATTTGTAGTTGAGGGAAGTTCTTAGATTATCTCAACCACAGCACCCCCAACCACAGAGTATACTGGCACAATCAAAGGACAACCCGGGGCTAACACTACAGTTGCTCAATGCATTCTTGGTGCAGGTGCCATTGGTGTGGCATAGACCAGCGTGAATGGTTCCAGACAAAAGAACATTCCCTTCTGCTACTAGATTGGCCACTGCCAGAAGATTGTTCGAATTGACCTAGTCTCTGTTAGATATTCGAAGGCCTTCAACTGGAATGCAATGAACGGAGTGACCCTAGTAGAGATCGCGGTAGCTATCTAGTTAGAATGCTCAAATCTCAAGAAAGACACTGCAATTGGTAGGGTTATGAAATGGAGCCTCCACTATCGTTCCAACAAAATCTCATCCTGGAGGGCGCCATTCTGTGGTGCGTCCTAGTCTAGCTGGAGTCGAGTCTTCCGCATTTTGAGGAAGGCAGTTCAAGCAAGGGGTAAGCAGGTGGCAAAGCAATAGGGTGATTCGACTCAAAACCAGCCGGGTAACTCTGTGTCTCAATCCCTGAGCCCTGAGGATTACGTCAAGGTGCAATCTTGCTTCTTGCCGTGTCGGAAGCAACTTCAAACATCCTCGACCACCTTCAACCAACTCCAACCACCTTGATAACTACCACACCTCCAACGCTAGCTACCGGTATTGATCCGGCAAAGGCTGTTGTAGCAAGTTGATTGGAGATCAAAGAACATGAAAGGAAGAAAATGGCAACCCCACTAAGAAGTGACCGTGCAACATTGGATAGCCTCAATGAAAAATACCTAGAAATTCAAGCAGCTCCTCTGGCTGTTACCTCTCGGACTTTTAGGAATGGAAGAAGCTAAATGGCATCCAGGTGACCTAACAGCCTAATTCGTTAGAAAGTTCCGTGGTCGATGGAACATTATTTCGATGGAAAACGGCTATAACATTTTTTGACACATAATGCCATGCTTCCTTTGAAAGAAGTCATTCTACTCTCGTGCACTCTCTTCAGGAAAGAATGGCTTTAGAGAAAGTCATTTACGCGTGGCTAACAAGAAGTTCGGTAAGTTTCTTCCGCCAATTAAATATGACTGCCGTCCAATCCAGAGAGCTTCTTTTCTGTGAGTTCTAGTTCTCTCTTGAGAGTGAGAAACATGTGTAAACTTCTTCAACTATGTCTTAAAAGTCAATGAAGCAAGCATGAAAAGATCTCGGAGGAAAAATTTTGACTGTACAGTACATCTACAGTACGCACAATACCGCTAGAGTTCGAAAGAAAATGGGGTCACTGCTTCTGCCGCCTGGACAGAACGGACAGGAAGATTTCCATGTGCTGAGCAGTGGTGGATTGATGTTGGGTTTTGGGGGGTCCAATCGGCTTTGAAACTAAACTAGACTATAGAGGATACAAAATAATGAACGGTTTCAGTGACCCAAGCAAATTGGCATGAACATGATCCTCCAGCCACAATTACTGATAGTTCCTGAATGAAAAAATAAAACATATTCGAGCAATGATTTCAATTATTTAAAAAAACAGAAGGTTATATGTTTGTTTTTAAATGTTGCGCTGGGTTCCAAGTTTGAGGACAAGAAGACCCTCTTAGGAAACACAAAGACTAGGAATGAACTGCTTGCTTTTTAGATTGAAAGCATCATTGCAAAGGACAATTATTTGAAGTAAGAGTAATACTTTGTGTGAACAACACAAAGTTTAGTAGTATTTTAGTGATCTGTAAACTCCTGCACAAATAAATATAAGCGCCAAGCCTTTTTGACCCATTGTCCCCACAAAGTAAATCTAGTTAGGGGGTCATACATGTATTTGCCTTATGTACCTCCCTCACACAATTAATATGGCATAAGTGCAGGAAAAGGTCATGAAGCAATAAGAATACCTCGACAAGATCCTGGAGCCCTCCGGTATCCCGGTCACAAGGGCAGAGACAATCTTCTTGGGTTGTAGAAGCTCATTCAATTACTTTCTCATAATATTCTCAGTTTCTGGTGCCAAAGTCAAAGCAACTTCTCTCCCCCTCAACTCCAACTTGCACTCTTTTCGCAATCATTCATTCCTGACAATGACGCTCTCTTTCCTCTTCCTGACTCTCACCATCAGCTTGAGCTGTTTGTCTCCTTTTCCATTGTTTGCAGATGCGGCCTTGACGGTTCCTTGCAACTCGACTTCTCAATGCGCGGTGCTCTTCCGCCCGGGCTCCAAGTGCAACCACGATGGGTTCTGCACCAACCCGTTCTACCACGGCGGTTGTCTCAGCAACCTTGGCTTGACGAACAAGACGCGCATTTGCAACTCGCAAGATTCTCCCGATGCCCTCGCAAAGGGATACTGCCGCAGCTCACCATTGGGATACCCCGAAGTCCGACTGGCGGCGCGCAACTGGGAAAGTGCCAATTTGGGGGCGTGGATTCTGCAGATTTTGTTGTCGGAACTCTTGGATGTTCCCACATCGATCGAAGGAGGCAGTTTCGACGTGAATATGAACTTTTACGACTTGGACAATGGATTTGACGTGGGCAATGCCGGTGTCGATCCGGCGCTGCAAGAACTCCAAGTGGCTCATCAAGTGCAGGGCGATTGTGCTTCCGTCACGAACTCTCGAGAAGACTATCAACCCTGCATGCACGTCAATCAGGAAACGTACGCCAGTTGGTATGACCTCAGCGAGTTCAAGGACTTTATCGAGCCGGTCCGAGAACTGGGCGCCATGACGGAAAACGCCTGGTTCATTCCGCGCTTTGCCGCCCTCAACGATTCCAGTTTGGTCTCGTATGCTGGCTTGAGTGGAGAGGAAAACCGACGCAAGTTGGCCGAGACCTTCAAGACACCCACTCGATGGGGACATTACTGTCAAGAGTACAGTCCCACCAATTGTGCACCAAACAGTGATGCACTGGCGCACCGACCTCCTGCAAACGACGAAGAAGCCGATTCCTTCTTTGTGGATGGACTTTTCTATGGATTCTTTCGCTACACGGATCTTCACAACTGTGACAAGTACCCTACCAATTGCACTGGGCACTTTGTCGATGTCCCCTGCGAATGGATCACGTATGCGCCCTCCCAACTCTACCACAATGACATTGCCATGACGACTGAACGGTACACGTACACCGAACAAACCCAAATCTACCGGGCCGCCAATGCCACGAAATCGCCCGTCATGTACCAAGCCTACACCATTGACCTGATCTATGCTGACTTTGTGGGATCGGACGCCGAATTCACCCGTGTCACCTTGCCCGTCCGGACGCAAGACTGTATTGATGCCCGTCATGCTCATGTCTGTGGCGATGACTTTGCCACAATGATTGGAGAGGCGGCGGGTTCCTGTGATACCGCCCCGGAAATGCTCAAGAAAACCCTCAGTCGCGCTTTTCGAACAGAGGCGTTTTCGCCGGATGTGCCACCCGAGTTTTGGAGTCCGGCCGTGGCCGCCGTCGAACAGTATCAAATCACTGTCCCGCAACTGGGACAAATCTACACACTGTGGTTTGCGCGACAGACGGATGCCTGGAACTATGATCCGAGGTGCGTTCCTTTTGTCTTTTGGAGGCTGGATGCAAGAATGTTGTTGTGCATGTGTAGGCTGATCATACATTGCTTTCTTTTCTATCTTTCTTCTTTCTAAAGAGATGCTGTATGCCAGTTTGTGGTGGATAACATGGACATGGTACAATCATGGATCCCAGAAACACACCCAAGAGTCGTCCATGAGGCAGAACGGGAGGAGCAGGGGCTATCCAGGGCAGCCATTGCATTGGCCAGCTTGGCACTGGCAGCGATACTCGTTTCCATGCTGCTCACATTCTTCAAGAGAAAGACAGCCAGCATCTACCACACCCAGATTGAATTCATTTATTTGGTCTTGGGGGGCATGCTACTGGTCACCATTGGGGCTGTCGCCTTTGCCGTGGATCCATCTGATGGGACTTGTGCTTCCATTTACTGGTTGACCGACATTGGCTTTGCGCTGCAGCTGGCACCCCTCCTCCATCGAATCAAAAACATTAACCGGCTCACGTCCTCGGGAAATGGAATGCAGCGGGTCCGGCTTCGTCTGAAAGCTCTCTACGGATTTGCCTTTAGTGTGGTGGGTGTCGTGGCGATGTTTCTCACTATTTGGTACATCTTGGATCAACCACGAGAAGCCTTTGAATATGAGCTCAAGACTGACGATGTGACACCACAAGGCGAGACCATTATCCATTCGTATGCATACTGTGGCTCCGAACAGCAAAATTGGCATCTTCTTTCCTTTGCTTGGATGGCACTCATTCTGGTCCCGGGTTGCATGCTGGGGTTCATTACAAGCCAGGTCAAGGAGGACATGAATGACACCAACTCCCTTGCCCTCACATTGTACTTCCATAGCGCCTTTCTCTTGGCATGGTTCTGCTCCTACTTGCTCCTTCGGGAGTCGGACATGCCCAAATTCATGATTCACTCCAGCTTCCTCTTGAGTGCCGATACCATTGGAGCCTTGGGAATCTACCTGCTTCCCAAATTCTTGCGCAGTGGAGACACCATTCAGGAAGAGATTCTGCCGGATGTGTTTGTCCATACGACGATTGCCTTGCTCGATGTGCAAGGATTCTCCGCATGGAGCTCTGTCCGAGAGCCGGTACAGGTGTTCCAGTTCCTGGAGAGGTTGTATGCTAGCTGGGATGTGTTGGCCGCCCATCATGGTGTGTATAAGGTCGAAACGGTCGGCGAGTGCTATGGTACGTCAACCCACAAGAGAAGTCAAAGAAGTCGAGGTGTGTGCATGCATGGCTTGGGTCACGTTTCTTACGAACTGCAATGATCTCGTTCCAGTCGCCGCTACCGGTATTCCAGATGCCCAATCAGATCATGTCGTCCGGATGGCAAAGTTTGTTTCTGACTGCTGCCGGAAGATGCCCAAGTTTGTGAGGAAGATGGAGGAGCAGTTTGGTCCGGACACGCGAGAACTGCAGATTCGGGCCGGGATGAACTCGGGCGCCGTCACAGGTGAGGAAGACGTCGTTTCAAGAGTGCAAATGCTGCTATTCATTACTTTGTTTACTCATGATGCTGTGTTTTGTCCTTCAGGGGGATTCCTAAAAGGCAAAGGGGCGCGTTTTCAGGTAGGCATCTTCAGTGATGAACGGAATCGTCTCGTCGGCTTGCAGTTAGTTGTCCTCACTCTTGTTCAAACTTTGCTCCTGTCGCAGCTCTTTGGAGATACAATGACAACCGCGACGCTGATTCAGACAAATAGTGCCAGTGGCAGGATTCATTTGTCTCAAACCACAGCGGAGCTCCTTCTCAAAGCTGGAAAACGAAGGTGGATTATGGAACGCGAAGAGAAGGTTCACACCATCGAGAAAGGTGAAATGAAAACATACTGGGTAAGAAGGTCCTCGCAATTGGGATACTTGTGGACGGCGCATGGCACTCACGCGCTCTTGTTGTCTGCATTGCAGCTTGTCAAGGGCGGTCATGGGTTCGAGGACGTTGGATCTAGCAATGGCTATCTTAGTGACGACGAGAGTGAAGACGGTGAAGAGGAAAGCGAAGAACGATGGGTGGAGTTTAATGTGGGAGTATTCAAGGGATTGCTGCAGCAAATCCTCATTCGTAGAGCAGCTGGCGCCGTGAATGAGCCGTTCGTCGTCCCGGTTAGTATGGTTGACAAAGGCGAAATGCCCCTTTCGGAAGTGCAAGAGATTATTGAACTACCAAAATTCAACAAGAGGGCCGCCAAACGTCAGCGAGAGGCTGAAAATATCGAGATACCGAACAAGGTCATGGACCAGCTCAAGTTATACGTCAAGGAGATTTCAATTCGTTACAACCGGAACGCGTTTCACAACTTTGCTCATGCAAGGTAAGAATGAATTGGTGCTCTTAGTTTCGACTTTCCAAGGCACTGTTCACTCACTCGTTGTCGCCCCACCTTACAGCTACGTGGTTATGGCGGTGACCAAGTATCTGGTAAGTGAACGAAAGGAGTGTCAAGCAACAACGTAATGATGGCATCGATATCCGGGCTGATGATGCATTTCCTTCCTCTCGCAGAATCGAATCATTGCTGCGACTGATGCGGGTGTGGGAAAAGATGGCGAGCGTTTCCGATCCAGTTTCCAGGCAGCCCTGCATGATCACACGTAAGTTGAGCTGTTTCGTCTCCTGACGTCGCGTACAAAGCCGCAGTTGAAGCTCACTCTTTGGGTTATCTGGCACTCCCAGCTACGGAATTGCAAGCGACGCGTTAACACAGTTCGCGGTTGTGTTCACTGCTCTTATCCACGATGTTGGTGAGTTTCGTTCTTGTTTTTGGCAGCGTGGTTGAGATTGGATCCATGCTCACCCGAACGTCTCGTCAGACCATCCTGGTGTTCCGAATCCACAGTTTATAAAGGAAAACAGCATCACGGCTACCAAGTACAAGGTAAGCTCCATGCACCTTCGACTGACCATTGAATGAACCTGACAACTGACCCATCGTTGCCGCCCGAAACAGAACCGATCTGTCGCGGAGCAAAACTCATTCGACATTGCTTGGGATTTGCTGATGGAGGAGCGCTTCACCGATTTGTTGTCAGCTATCTGCCAAGATTCACAAGATTTGTGCAGATTCCGGCAGCTTGTGGTCAATGCTCTGATGGCAACTGATTTGGGCGACAAGTACGTACACGGATTAGTTAGTTTGCCGCTCCCATTCCGATGATGGCACGCCCTCACCTTTCGCCTTTCTTGCATCTCTTCAGGGAAATGAAAGCGCTGCGAAATGGTCGTTGGGACAAGGCGTTTCAACGAGGAGACTCCTCTGATGGCGCCAGCGTTGTGACGGACTCCACTATGCATGACTCTGAGACTGCACGAGAGAGTAGAGACACAACTAGCAACCGAAAAGCCACCATCGTTGTACGTTCAATCTCTTTTCTGGCTTGGCCTGCTGCAGCGCATTGCATTTGAATTTCTCACCTTGCATTTCTCTTCCGTGTGCAACAGATTGAGCACTTGATCCAGGCCGCTGACGTTGCCCACATGTCTCAGCATTGGCACATTTACCGAAAATGGAACGAGCGCCTCTTCCGAGAGACTTATGCTGCGTTTCGGGAGGGTCGTGCAAACAGCAATCCAGCAGACAACTGGTACAATGGCGGTAAGACCGCAATGATGGCTTGACAGCGTAGTGCATGCCTTGTAGTAGCTTTCTCACATTGCACCTCCCGCGGCTTTCTCCTGACAGAGATTGGATTCTTCAACTTTTACAGTGAGTACAAGGAAGTGGTTTCTCCGTGTATGGGCTCTCGGCTGTTACAGTTACCTTTTGCTTACACACACTTGCCTCTGCTGCTCTGCAGTCATCCCCTTGTCCGAAAAGCTCCGAGATTGTGGCGTGTTTGGTCCCACGAGCGATGAAAACTTGAACTACGCCGTCAACAATCGTGACATGTGGGAGAAGAACGGGCAGGCCATTACCGATGAGATGCACAAGCGGGTGGAAGAGGAATACAACACCGTTTTGGTAGCGCCTGCTTCTAAGAGTTTCGAGATTACTCAAGAACAGGCCATGCCGATGCCCACTGGTTCGGTTGTGGAGGTCTGAACTCGCCTTATTGTGAGGTTACGACACTAGTTACTAGGCAGGCCACTGCTCTATATTTATTATATGCTCCACGTCATACAATTCTCTCCAAAACTGACCATTCATGTAGCTACAGGCGCTTGTACTTTGAATGTATCGGCTAGCTAGCTGAGGTGTGACGAGGAAAGAGCTACTGCGCTGTAGATAAACATTCCCGAGCTCCAAGGGCACTGTTCCAGTCAAACCATTGTGTTAGGCAAATGATTGGATACCCCACATGATGATGCACCGCATCGGCTTCCCTCATGATCGAGTGGAGTCGAGTCAATTCGAGTCGTTGAAGTCTCAAATTCAAGCCAGTGGTGCTGTGACAGAATCCGCAACATTGCAAGCTATGTTGCACTATTGTCTCCTACGTATGCATTTATGTAGTATGATTATCAACACAAACAGCCTTTTGATTCCATTCAGCTCTCGTCACCCACAATCCGACCACCACCATTCTGATTCTTGACTTCCAACAGCACCATACTCATAAATTGGTGCTAGAACAGTTACACCAGTCACATCCACAGAGCAGGTCGCTGCAGTCAAAAGTAAGGTTGATTGCTGTGCCGGTAGAACACAACATCTCTGGGATAATGCCAGAAAGATTATTTCCATGTAACAAGACACTTTCAAAATAACGGAAAGAAGCACTGCCAAGCTCCAGGGGCACTGTTCCAGTCAAGTCATTGTCAAACAGCCACAACTGAATCAAACCAGTAAGCAGACCAAGCTCTGTAGGAATGGTTCCTGTGAGGCCATTCCTTTCGAAGCTCAAAACTAGCGCTTGCTCATCCATTCCGATTTCACTTGGTATTGTGCCCGACAAAGCATTCACACCAAGCCACAAGGAAGTCAACTTTGTTAGCAGTCCAAGTTCTGTTGGGATCTAAAGGAAAAAACCATGGACTCAATTGTTAGAGGAAAAAGGTCTTTTGACAGGACTGGCACAAAAATTGACATACAGTCCCAGTGAAGGAGTTCTCCAACAGTGTCAATATCTCCAGGGATGCCATGTTGCCAAGCCACCTGGGGATTGTCCCAGCAAGACCCGAGTTATGCAGTTGCAAATATACCATGTCTGTAAGAACTGCAAGCTCGACTGGGATCTAAAGGAATCACAGAGAACATTGAGCATAGCTTGCAAATAAACAAGCACCCCACCCAACATACATCACTGCAGAACTTACAGTGCCACTCAACATAGTAAAGGGAAAACTTAAAAAATTCAAGAGAGTCAATTGCGCCAGCTCTGTGGGAATAGACCCCGTAAAGAAGTTTCCATCAAACCACATAGCCTGCAAATCAGTCAGCAAACCCAGCTCTGTTGGTAACTGCAAGATGAAAACTGGGTATAATGAGAACGGCATAACTGTGCCAGTATTCGCAAAAGACAAGACTCATAATATACGTACTGGTCCTGTCAACTGACTTTCTGATAGAACAATAGCTCTCATGGAGTTTGTCAGGGTAAACAGGGATGATGGAATCTGGGAACCATGCATGTAGAAAGTGAAGGTGCGATTTGACGAAATGAGGCATTGCAGAACTATCTTGTCAGATACTGCATAGGTTGCCACTTACAGTTCCCGTCAAAGAGTTGAAGGGAAACATGATAACTCCAAGTTTTGACCATCCTCCTATTGCTTCCGGAATGGTTCCAAACAGCCCACATCCCATCATCGAAAGATAGTCCAAATTTGAAAGGCCAGAAAGCTCTTCTGGGATAGTGCTGGTAAGATTCAATCCATCGAATGCCAAGCTCGTGAGGTCTGTGAGCAAATAGACCTCCGGCGGAATACCTGATCCTGACAGGCCATTATATTGCAGCCAAAAGTGCTTCAGGATTCCATCTCCCTGGTAGAGTACACCATCCTCTCGATATCCAGCTGTATCTTGTTCACAGGGACTGAGGTGATCCAGTGGGAAAAGTATGTCAGCTTTAATTAAGACATAATAATCCTCCAAACTTGAATACCAAAGACACTCATGAACCCTGTGGTTGAGCCAATTATCACTGGAGAACCATTGGTCTTTACTGTTGGCAAAATAGAAAGTTGCGAGTACAAAACGTTGTACAACTCTCTGTTCCGTAATGTTGTGTAGGATGTCGATCTCTTCCATAAGCCATTCGAATGCCCTTGACTGAGGCGATTCTGGGTCCTCCTGAATTGCAGAGACTGTTGATTCAGGGAAAAGAGATAGCCAGTATTCTGAATAAGTCGATGGCCCCTGAGATGGGTTGCTGCTGGGCGGCTCACTAGGCACGGGTGTTGGGACAAGATCTGCATCATCCTGCTTCTTTCCAGGTGACACAATGGCTACCAAAATGAGAATGATGGCCAACAAGACGATGACTCCCAAGAGTACCTTGGTTTTGAATTGCTTCATTCTCTCTTCTCTGTTTGTGTTTTCACGTTCCAGATTGTAATCTTGAGCGCGGGGAAGATCCTGAGGGGTAGTTTCATCGGGAACCAAGTTTGCCACAGCCAAACCACTATTGTCGATTTCCGGTTCAATCCTAGGTGGTCCAGTAGTCGTGGGTTCGATATCCGTCTCTGCTGGCTCCAAATTTTCCTCTGTTGCTTGATTTCCTCCACTTGGGAAGGCTCCTGGCTGTACTTGGGCCCTTCTGTTGGCAGTAGTCCGTTCCAATCGAGGCAAAGGCATAATTCCCAAATTGTCGTCATTTTGCACCGTATCCTCCGGAGCGTCGACAAGTTCAATTCGGGTGTCATCGTGCTCTGGAGTGGTACTATTTTCACCTTGGTAGAGACCAGAATCTTGGAACTGATCGTCCACTTTTGGGCCTCCTACTTCTCCAGTTTTGGGTGGGTGTGGGCTTTTCTCTCTTTCGAAAAATCCTAGTGTGTGCTGTTGGTTGCTTGTTGGGATGGCCTCCGAATCTTTTTGCGGTGGGTGTGGGCTTTTCTCTGTTTCAAAAAAGTCTAGTGTGTGCTGTTGTTGGCTTACTGGGATGGCACTGGCATCGGCATCGTGTAGCCGAGCTTCCACAATTTTTTGCAGGTCGAGAGGATCCAATCCTTCTTCCAAAGAACCTTCATCTTCATTCTCCTGCTGTCCCTCCTGGTTTTCCTGCTCTGGGTTGTTGGGAGAACCCAGGTTGCCCGGCTTGCCAGCCTCCTCTTCCATTGTCATGGTTTCTGATGGTTGGATGGCTATATAAATTGCAGTTACAGTACTCGTTGTGTGCTTGGTTTGTGAAGACTTGTGTTAGCGAATCGACTATGGATGGATGGGGCTGCAATTGCTGCACAGCTTGGCAAATGTTTTATTCCTGCCAATGAACCAGCCTGAATAAACCGGGCCAACAAATCCTGAATAAACCGTCGCCACTTTTAATTGTGCAACGGGAGGAATCCATTGGTGAAAGGATCCCGAGATCTTGACTGCGATCATGCGGCTTATAGGTGCATGAACGGAGAGCGCCTGCATGCCTTCCGACGACGATGACCTCTTTATCAAGTCACGGTCACAAGTCAACATTGTATGAATGGTATCAAATAATTCAAATGATTCGATTCGATTCAATCCTTGAAATTTTTAAACCTTAGCACCATTCTTTTCACAGCACCCGAATCGAATCATTGTTCCGGTGCTCGATTAATAAAGCCATTCGTCGTGGGAACTTGTGGTCCCAGCTGCTTTGTATACTAGTAGCTCTTTGTATACACATGCTCCATAAACCTGTGGACTAGTTACTGGTTGTGTTGTGTTAGTCATAATTTGCGGATAACTTTTGATGCTTCCGGCGACTGCTAGACTACTAGCTAGTACTACCGGTAGCAAGCTGGATAGCTGGATACTACAATGTACCAGTACCACTGTACGGAGGGAGCCATCTTTCGAAAGCTGACGCAAATGTTGTTAGCAGCCTGCTGGCTTTAGGATCCAATTCGCGCCAAATTCTTTTGAAGTAGACCGTCCTCCAAAACACCCTTTTTGGTTGGATTGAATACCTGCTCAACGCTCCAATTTTGTCGAGGCTGCGGACACTTGAGTGATCATTGGAGGTCAACGGGTGTGGTTCCGCGCAGTCTCAGTCCAAAGTTTCGTGCCAAACCCCAGAAAAGAAAAACAGCGCATCCATTATTTCTGTCAGTGTCCTTGTCCATAGTCTAGCTTACCGATCGTACTGTAGACAGAGATTGATTTTGATTGACCATGGCAAAGGCAAAGGCCAAGAAGAAGACCATGGTGAAGGGCCAGCAGAGCCTGTTCAAGTACATGAGTTCTAGTCCGAGTCCAACACCAAAGAAGAGCAAGAAAGAGGAAGAGGATGAAGCAGCAGAAGACTCGCCAAGCTCGACTGGATCGCAGGTGGAGAATCTAGATCCCAAGGAGACGACAAAGGCCAAGCGAAAGGCAGCTGCTAGTACTATTACTACCAAGACTACTACAAAGACGACCACAAAGAAGAAGGCAGAAGAAGAAGAACCCGCCAAGAAGCGCGTCAAGAAAAATGACAAACAGAAAAATGACGAGGAGAAAAAGGAAATGGAGGAAAATGACAATGACAATGACATGGAGGTGGAGGAAGAGAAAAATGAGGCAAAATATCCAGATGGAACCAAAATCTACAAGGTGAGTCTTTGTCCTTAGCAGCATTCTAGCTACTTCATGTCTTGATTTTGTCATTTTTGACCATTCACTCTTTTACACTCACTCACACCCAATGACATTGTTTGGCTTGACTTTTTGCTCAAATTCGTTCCTTTTGATCCTGATTGAATCATTCTCCTGTCTTAGGTGAGTTTGATTTTTGGCTGCTAGCAAGCTAGCTTCTAGCTGCTAGCTTGCCTGTGCCTAGAGCTTACCAAGCTATCGCGAGTTTCTGAGCATGTCCTTCTGTCATTGTTTGGCCTGGCCTGGAGCTCACACATGTGTAACTTTCTCTTTTTTTATGCTTTTACAGAATTTCGGGGATCACGGGTGGTTTCACGGAACGGTGTTGTCCTTTGATGGAGACACTTATTTAGTGCAATATGACGATGGTGATAAGGAAGACCTTTCTGAGACGGAATTGGAAGACGTCCTGGAAAAGCCAAACGACAAAAGTAGCAAGAAAGCAACTACTACCTCTAGTAGGGCCAGTCGTCGTCGTGCGAGCAATTACAAGGAGGATTCGGATGATGACGAGGAAGCCATTCTGGTGGACTCGGATGACGAGGAACCCAAACCGAAGAAGAAAGCATCCTCCCGTCGCACCGCCAAAACGGACAGCAAGAAACAGAAACGCAAGTCGGATGACGACGATGAAGACTTTGTCACGGATGGGGCCAAGGATGACGATGATGATGAGTTGGATGCCGACATGGACGACGACGACGACGATGAAGATGCCATGGAGGTGGAAGAAGCCAAGCCGAAGAAAAAGGCAGCCACCAAGAAGAAAGCAGCCGCCAAGAAAAAGGGCAAGAAAAAGAGTGATGACGACGACGATGACATGCATGTGGAAGAAAACCTCAATGCCGTGCAACGAGATTTCCAAAACAAATTGGCCAAAGATCTCAAAGCCGTTGATCCAAAGAACAATCCACAAAAGTTGCCCGAAAACGGACCCTTTGTCGATCCGGTGGGAGTCGATCCGACGCATGGGATTGTAGAAGAAATTGTCTCGGCACAAGTCCGAAAGGTCGGACGATTGCTGCAAGGAGTTGCCGAACGACAACGACAGAGTCGTGACGAGGAACCCCCCATGGGAGAATTGCAGTACCCGCTTCGTCTGCAAACGGCTTGCTCGGGAACTGATGCTCCTTCCATTGCTCTCGGCTTGATCAAGGAATCCATTGACAAGATGTTGCCTCACGACCAGGCGTTCTTTGAGTACTCGCACGAAATGTCTTGCGAAATTGAACCCTTTAAACAAGCGTACATTGGACGCAACTTTCCAGGTGTTCCCCTCTTTCCGGATATTACCAAGTTGACCGAATCGGAACAAGTCTTGGATGTCTATGGTCGAGAACAAACACTGCCGGATGGAAATCTGTTTGTGGCGGGAACGTCCTGCAAAGATTTTAGCATGCTCAAGACACGGTATCGTCTCGATATTGAAGACAAGGGTACGTCGGGAGAAACATTCTTGGCGGCCGTGGAATTCTTGGAGCAAAAGCAGCCACCTGTGGCCATTTTTGAAAATGTCGACAAGGCGCCTTGGGACAAGATGCAAGAATACATTCGTGGACGTGTCAATCTGGCAGAGCGAAACACCCTCCAAGGTATTGTCGGAGGCAAGACAAAAAATACTGGTGAGTTGTAGTATTCAATTGGAGTATTGTTTGGTTGCCTTGACTGTTGGAATGCGGATGACTCACACATCGCGTTGTCGTGCATGAATTGCTTAGATGCCGAGACTCATCTCAAGTTCTCTGTCGACGACGAAGGTCGCTACATCGCGGAGGAGATTCCTCGTCAAGTCGGTATCAAGGCCGGTGTTGTCGTGGAAGGATTTGTGAAAGGTGGCAAGAAGTCCAGCAACGTTCAACCCCTGGTCTGCCCGAAAGAGAAGAGGAAGGGTGGCTTGGTCACATTGGGACAGTTGGCCAAACGGCATAAGATCGATTTGGAGGCTGATACTCTTGTCATGGAAAAGAAAGCCCGTTACTGTACTAAATTGTTCAGGCTGGACACTAAGGAGTATGGGCTTCCTCAGACCCGAAACCGAAAGGTGCGATCAACTTTGAGGTTCCGTGTTGCGATGGCGTTGATGTACGCTCAACATTTTTGTCGCTCCTGTTCTTGCCCCAGTACTTGTTCATTTGGCGATCAGATGACCCAGACGACGATCTCGGAGACTACTTTGAAGACATCATGAATCATCTCAAGACTCCTCTTCTCCACTCCATGGATGCCTTCTTGCTGCCAGACACACATGATCGCGTTCGGTGCTTTCGAGAGGCACTTCGGTCTGGTCCAGGACTAATGGTTGCAAAGGAGCGCGCCCGGGAGAAAGATTTCTGGAACTGGGAAGAATCGTAAGTGGCTCGATCCGTCTGCGTACGAATCTTTTGTTGGTCATCCTAACAAATGCTTGTGACATGGTTGCAGGCGTGTAAAGGACTTGACCCTTCACCTGGCCTACCGGAAGAACTGCGGTATTGAAGAACGCTCTAGATGGATTACTGGGTGGAACGTTGGTGGGCGCAAGCTTCTTGCTCCGGGATGCTGGCCTGAATTATTCGACTGCTGGAACCATCGTCGTTTGGACTTGATTGATTGTTTTGCTGCCTCGGCCGGTGAGTGTTTTTCAGCCTCGGCTGTTGCTTCACCTTGCACCATGCTCACCCTATCTGCGCCTTTGTTTTGCTGCAGCTCGTGACGCGATCGCCCGCGATGCATTGCATCATTCGTTCACGTGGGACATGAGTCAAAACGTATCCAGAGCTCCCTTCCGTTCAGGCGGGGTTGGTGTCAGTGGTTGCGTCACTCCTGGAGGAGAGTTGCTGCTACCCCGCAAAGGCCGAACAGCGATGGGGTACGAGAAACTGTTGCTTCAGGGGATCCCTTTCTCTCGCCTATTGCTAGGACCGGAATCGGAAGTCCAGCTTTCTGATTTGGCAGGAAATGCTATGTCTGTCTCTGTCGTGTGCGCCACCATGCTCGCGGCAATCTGCGCCCCGCAACTGCGACGGGAGATGGAAGCTAGTAAATCGGCGTCTTTGAAAGATTTTGGCGTGAATCAGAAGTATGATTCGTCAAATGGCGCTGTCCTGGCTGAACGCGGGGATCTCTACAATTCAGAAAGAGACACAAATGCCAAGGATTTTGCCGATGTGTTTATCGATATTGCCAAGGAACTGGCTCGTGATGCCTTCCGGTCGTCGGTGCTGTGCACTTGTGAATCGTCCGGTACGACCACCAAAGATCCCACCATTCTTCAATGTTTGGGCTGCGGATGGCGTGTTTGCCACGGCTGCTCCCATCGGTATCGAACTCAGTGTCACAAGCTCTCGGAGATTGATGCGGCAGGGAAGGATGGCAGGCCTGATGTGAATGCGTTTGAGAGAAAGCTCAGGTGTGTTGTCCCTTCCATTCTGCGCCTCGGCCAAGGTACAGAAGAGAAAATTCGGGGCGCCACTGGTCTCGAAAGTTACTCCTTCGAGCTCCAACAGGTAAGTTGATTGATTTTTTTGGAGTGTGCATGCATCGAGTACACATGTTCTCACCAACAGCGGACGCGTCATCAACTCGCACAGGTGGACAGGAAGAAGGGGCATTGGCAGCTGACATACGGCGCCTGGGAAGATCATGGCTCAGCCCGACAAGTAGCCGAGATCCGCGTTGAGATTGGGTCCTTGACGGCATTGGATAGCCAGGTTGGATTTGCTGCCTATTTGAGGTGCTTCGCCCCGGCCATTCGACACATCAAGCCGCACCGTGGTGCTCTGAAGGATTCTGCTCGCATCAGATACAGAATTGATGACTCCAATAAGAGCTTGCCATGCTGGGAGATTCCAGCCTCGCCGACGAAATGCAACCTCAAGATTGAAGGGACTGGAGAGGTAGATTCTCAGCGGGTTCAGATCGGCTTGAACGACGTGGCGGCAAAGTCGCTGAAGAATCACATTGTCAAGAAAGCATTCCAGGTGGATATTGATTCTCGAAACTCGATGTCACATTACCACAAGAAGTGGAAGACCTGGCCAAAGGAGATTGCCATGTCTGGTGATGAATCTGGTCGAGTCAACGGTACATATTCTTACGTAGGCTGCCAACAGACAGTTGTGCATTCTGCCCTCTGGCGGCGAGATGCAACCGAAGATCAACCCGCAATGTACCTCTTTTTCCGGCCAGACGTCATCCGCACCCACCTTGATGTCGCTGTCATCTCTCCCACACCATCTTATCATGACCAAGAAGAAATATCCGAGCTGCATGACTGGATCCCAGAGAATGCTCTGGAGGAGAAAACGCATAAAACGAAGGCAAAGTTCCTGGAATGGGATCAGTGCCCCGACGGCTTGAAGGTTGAGGTCCCAAAGCCCGCGTTGGCCATGGTGACTCAGTCCCAGCAGTTCCACGAACGAGCTTCCCTCTCTTCTGCCAGCGAAGATGCGCCAGTCCTGTGCGAGGTCAAGGGCTTGTCTGAGGATGTCATTTCCTCTCTATTGGAGTATAACGAGGCAAATGCAGGAGGCAGCGTTTCAGCAATTGATCTTGTAGGCCGCTCTGGAACACGAAATGCCAAGCGCTTGTCCATCGTTGCAGCGCCATCTCTCTTGAAGTACGCGGCTCAAGGCAAGCTCCCTTTAGAGTTCTCGAAGTGGTACCAACTGACATCGTCCATTCAGTTCGGACAGTGCCAAGTCAATGTACCTGCACGGCCCGCAGAGCAGTGGCGCGAGGTCAGAGGGCAGAGGATGACTGTCGAACGTTTTTATGATGCCGAAGAATCCAACGATTATTACCAGGTAAGGCGAATGTCATCGAGTGGGCTTCCAACGCGAACCGATCATCTCACAGCATCTTCTGGCATCCAATTTTTCCTCAGAGGTTGTTGAACCGGCCCACAGCGTTCAAAGTCAACGTTATCAAGCCAAAGGGAATTCTCGAGGTTCGCATGGCCCCCACCGTTGCGGCCCATCGAGCTGCCGCACAGCTTGGGGGCGAAGAATCTGGCTCTGTTGTGGTGGATTATTGTCTCGCGGAGTTGTCCTCCATGGGCGAACCTGACACGAAAGATTTCCACGTCCCGAACTCGGATGCGCACGAGGAAACCCACGTGGATGGCTTGGTGCTTCCGCTCTACAAGCGTCAAGCCAAGGCGCTGACTCGGATGCTATCAATTGAGGACGGAAAGGTTCCTTTTTCAGAAGAGGAACGCTCAGAACACGTCCTCCCAGGAATCGGCTGGTGTTTGATAGCGAGAGCCTCAAAGAAGTCTCCTCTTCGTGGCGGTGTGCTCGGAGATGCAATCGGAAGCGGAAAAACAGTTGTTACCATTGCTCTTATTCTAGCCGGAGCGACGAAGGCTCGAGAAAACCGTGACATTGGGTCTGGGCGTTCTTCTGCAACCTTGATTGTTGTTCCGCCTGGGCTGGTCCGACAATGGGATGACGAACGGAAGGTACGTTTCGTTTTACGACATCGTATGGGTTTCCGTTGGTGTTTGTCCAAACCTTAAAATTTTTGTCCTCCTATCCAAAGAAATTCACTGGCAGCAAGCTAAAATGCCTCATTATCAGTGACACTGATAGCTTGAAGAAGAAATCGGTGAAGGACTTGTGCGAGGCCGACATTGTGATTGTCCCTGCTGGTCTAATCGAAGAAGAGCCCAAAAAAGGAGACAAGAAGCGACGACCATACACGGAACAGCTGTCGACCAAAGCTGGTGCTGGGAGAATCCCGCCAGCACCCACCGGTAAGTTCTTTTGCTTCCGTCGATTAAGCGAGCTAGGGGCAAGGCGGCATATCTTTTCTTACCCTGGATTTCTCTTTCCGTGGCTGATACAGGCTACTCTCAACGAGAAGCCCCTACTATTGAGGGTAAGCATATGTTCAGCGATCGAATGATTCGAAAACCTTCAGATTCAAAAGTCCAGCTCACTTACTTTTCACTGTTTCGCGTTGCTTTCTCTGTTCTAGGCACATGGGTCCGGAACATGGCGTCTGGTCCAGAAATTTATGTCGGTAACAGGGGCGATCAACGCAAGCGTGATGCCCAGGCATACTACGGCCACTGCTACTCGGAAGCCATTGCCAAGCTCCGAAAGAAGAAGTTCGCCGCGTCGGAACGTGGAGTGCCCATTGAATATTTTACTTGGGAACGTGTCGTGATTGATGAGTGTCATGAATCATTGGTCACGGCTAGCAAGCAAGAAACCAAAGCAGCTGATTTCAAAGAAAAGGCTCGTCGCGGCGCCCGTGAGTTCTTGGGTGTATCACAGACCAACGTGAAGAAGCGGCCTCTTGTGGCTACTCGTGGTGTTTGGGGTCTGACAGGAACGCCTCTCTTGGAGACTGAAGCTCGTGTCACGGAGCTTTCGAATCTCATGGGCGGCACCTATCTCACGGGCGCGTCTCATCATTGGCGCAAGGAGGAGCGTGAATCAGGCCGTGATTTGTTTCTGAATCAGTCGGAAGGTACCAAGTCGAGAGAATACCGCTGCGCCGTTTGGGAGGCCTGCGACGCCTATGTCAATACGGCTTGTCAGCGCAACTGTGGTCCCAAACTCAATGTCAAGTTGGAGCGAAAGGTCATTGAGGTCAACATGACTCAAGCCGATGGAGAAGCCTTTTTGAAAGAATCCAAGAAGGTGGATTTGGAGAGCTTTTCCGTTACGCCGGATCAGCTCGGCGAAAAGGCGGGTGATGTCCTGGCTGTGACGGCCTCATCCACGGCTCGTCATGGCGCCTTGATCCAGGAGATTGATAGCATTCGTGAACGTGAAGCGGACACCAAGATTATCATTTTCGCCAATGCCACCTTTGGTGGTTACGACAGTGCTCTAAAAGGATTGAAGGAGTCGGACCAAAAGTTTTGCCACATTTCCAATGAAAAACATAGTGTGCAAGAACAAAACGAAGTCATTTCGTGGTTCCGTCACGTCGATGCCACAGACGAGGACAAGGCTCGTCCACGGATCCTTCTCTTGTCGTTTGAACAAGCTGCTGGCCACAATCTACAAGAAGCCTGTCACGATGTGATTATCTACGACCCCATGTATTCTGGTACGGATGCCGTGGCCGACGCCAGTGTGGAGGAGCAAGCCGTGGGTCGTGTGATGCGTCAAGGTCAGAAGTACAACGTGACCGTGACGAGGATTGTTGTCCGTGGTCCGGATGGAGAGCGTTGCTTGGATGATGTCATTGTGGAACGCAATCTGGACAAGGATGTGTTGGCGGCAGCGACTTCCAACTTTGACTAACTTTCTGTCATCGTCGGTACCTGGTATTGGCTGAAATTGCATGCATGATGGAACGAAACACTATAGGGGGCTTAATACAATACAGTAATCTCTAGCTAGATTGGTTTGGTTTTCTGAGAAAGCTTGCGCAGTTGAACTACTTCAAAGCTTGCGGACTGTTGGCTGGACTTCAAAGCTTGCGTACTGTCGGCTGGACTTGATCAGTATGAGAAACTGCTGGCTTTGCTTCCAGGGAGCTGGCTGACTTGAAAAGAAATCTGGGTAAGCTACTAGGATACCAGTACGGCACCAACACATGGAGCCATCGTTGAGGCAAACACATTACACCTTGCTCTCATTGCCCATCCCACAAGAGCAACCACAGCCACACAAAAGACCGCCACAATCAAAGAACAAGCCCTGCACTGGTTTGAGCAAATCCCAGGAACTTCTCACCCCTGTGCCATTCATGTTGCAAACTTCCTCAGGGATGGTTCCAGACAGCTTTGGGTTCCCATTGAATGTTATTGTATGCAATGTCTGTTGTAGAGATGACAGTTCTTCTGGGATTGTGCCAGATAAACTGTTGTTTGCCAAGGTGAGGCGCCCAAGACCTCTGAGGTAACCAAATTCACTGGGAATTTGGCCTGACAGTTGGTTATTCTCAAACGCAAGAAAATTTGCAGTGGTCAATTGACCAAGCTCCGTAGGGATGACCCCTGTCAGTAGATTTGATTGTAGTTGCATTCCCCCCTTCAAGTTTGTGAGGAGCCCAAGCTCACTTGGGATTGTACCGGTGAAGTGATTTCCCCAAAGTTCTAAAATAAAATCAGCCCTGAAAAAGCCAAACTCACTTGGAATTGTTCCCACAAGGTCATTTTCACCCACGCTAACCACCAAATTGGTAGGAAACATAGCTAGTTCGCTTGGGATGGTCCCATCTATTCTGTTTCGCGACAGAACAAGCCATTCCAAGGACTCAATGTTCCCAAGCTCTGTTGGGATTGTGCCTGCACAAGCAAGATACATGAACGTGTTCAGTGCAAAGGAATTGTGAGTGACAATGGCCTTCAATACACCATCAAACCAGCAGGCATTGATCCTACCTGTTAAGTCATTTTCAGTCAGAAGAAGCTCGAAAAGAGGCCGACCTCTGATGGAATATGTCCTTGCATCGTCTTATGGCCCATCATAAGAAAGGTCTGTAGATTTTTCAGCTGCCATAGCTCTACAGGAAGAGATCCTTGATGATTGCTGTTTGTGAGCAGAAGACCCCTTAGTTCTGTCAAAAAGCCAATCTCCGATGGAATATTGCCTTCAGGTGGTTGGTCAAAGATTGCAAGACCCTCCAACTGGGTAAGCTTTCCAATATGGCTAGATAGGCTTCCATGTAGTTGATTGGGCCCAAGTGAGAGTGTCTTTAAAGAAGTCAGCATGTACAGCTCTTCTGGCAGGGACCCAACAAGATTGTTCAGGTTCAACCAAAGATTGCGGTAAAGCATTTCATCAGGACTGCATGTAGTGGGAGGTGGCTCCGTTGGAGGGAAAAATTCAGAGAGATAGCCCGGATAAATCACATTCGTTCTTGTCTTCCGAGCAAACTCTGGTGAATTGAACCATTCACACTCATGGACGCTATGGTTCAACCAGTTGGAATTTTCTGCCCAAAACTCTCCATTGGTGGCATAGTACAGTGCTGCCAGGGCAAACTTTTGCTTGATGCGATCATCCGAGTAAGACCATAGCTTGTCTGAGTCATCCAACAACCACTCAAATGCCTTAGACTGAGGTGATGCTGGGTCTTCCAATGCTAGAAGGGTGTCCTCTTCAAGCAATGCCTCTATACGTCCTTCCAGAGACATAGATGGAGCTGAGGTTGGAGCTTGTGAAGGATGACTGGTTGGAGTTGCACTGCCATCTGTTGTATTGCCAGGAAGCAGAACAGCCACCAGAATCATGATAATTGCAATCGCTGCGATGACCAACAGTAGGAGACACGTCTTGAATCTTTTCCTCGAGACTTCGATTTGTTGAAGATGAGATGCATTGCTGGCATCCATTTCCTCGGCATGCTGCAATTCTTCCACTTGGCTTGCCACGGCCAATAGTAATGCATCGGGGCGACTATTACCGGCACTGGTGCCGGTACTGATAGGGGCAGCTGGATGTGGGATTGTAGGAAGTGGAACGGTAGCACTGGAGGAAACAGCAGCAGCACTCAGTAGATTGTAGTCCAGAGCCAGTGTGCGTTGGGATGACTCTCCAGGACCAGATCTGTATGCTCCAGGCAGCTCTCCAGGCACGGGAAGATCTAAAGACAAAGGCAGATCTAAAGGGTTGCTGCCGTCGACAGGATGATCCAGGCTGTAGGTGACAGGTAGAATGCTGCTGGCGGCAGGTAGAAGAATAGTTTGTGGTTCAGTTGGCTTTGGACCACTGCCGCTGTCAGGGAAGAATGATAGCTGTCCTCTGCGCTGGTTATTTTCAAACCTGGTAGCCAAAGCTGAACGATAACCCGTGTTTTCCGCCGCGGTCTGCTCCTCTTCAGTCTCTTGGACTGCGGGTCTTCTGCCATCCAAGTTATTATCATCTGCTGCTCTTTCCAGTTGGGCAATATCCCTATATTCACTAATGTTACCGGTACGTGTGGTATCATCAGCCGCTACTGCCGTCAATCGTAGTATTGCTTCTGCATGGGCCTTTTCTTCTGGAGTCATATGAGGAGAACTATCGGGGTGACCGCGGGTGTCTCCTGACGAAACAGGTAGCTCATTGTTCTTTGCATCCTGGGCACTCATTTCGACAAGAAAGCGCTGTCAGTGAGAGGAATGAGGGGCTTCTTACAGCTGTCAACGAGAGGAATGAGTTGCTTTTTAATTTCGTCGTGTGGGATGCGGCCGTCGTGTTCCACAAACAATGATAATCAGGAGCTTGGTAACTCGCACATATATCCCCCGTCTACGCCTCACGTCGCATCCAAAATAGGAAAGAACAAAAGGAATTCATATGCCCCCTGGGTCGTCTCCGTTTCCAGTACTAGTTCAACTTGTCTACTAATACAGGATAATGGTGAATAGAATCGAATGAATCATGTGGCTTATATTTAGGGTTTAGGTTTTGCAAAAGAGATAAGCGGCCACACTGGCCCTTCCCAATGGTTTTGCACTACCATCCGGCAATGAACCTCTGAGCTTTCTTGTGAACTCTTCTGTAAAAGTCACCAGCAGGAGATCGGTTGTAAGTCTCCTACGTAGTTACCGTATAAATCCCCCGTGCCCTTCACTTTCAAATCCTCAATACTCGGACCTCCCAATATTATTGCAAACCATTCCCAGTTCCAATGCAACCAAACGTCATCTCCCGTCCCACTGTTCCACGAACCACGTCGGCCAAAGTATCACTGCGAATAGTCAGAATGATGACACTCCACAAAGTATGAAGAAAGCTGCCGAAATCTATCCTAACGATCCTATTACCGAATACCCCAGTTCCGACGAAGAGCGGGAAGCAGAGGAAAAAGAAAACGCCAAGCTCCCAGCGGAAGCGAGCCAACCCTCCACTTAACACACGTTGATTCGAAA